GAATATATTGGTCGCTATTTTTAAAACTTTACCACGGATTTAGTGACCAGATTTAGCGACCACTTAATTCGGTCGCTATTTTGGTCTCCAATGAATAAGTGACCAAATTATTTAGCGACCACTTTAGCGACCACCAGATCGGTCGCTATTTAGCGACCGAAATGTAAATCGGTCGCTAACAACTTAGCGACTTGCCCTTTTGCGACCAACCATTTCGGTCGCTAATTTCGGTCGCTAACAGAATAGCGACCGAATTTTGACCATTAGCGACCGATTTTTTCGGTCGCTAAAAGCGATTTTTCTTGTAGTGTAAGTGGAGAAGAGTATGTTTGGTCAAAACAGAGAGGAACATTTCGCATGGGAAGAGAAAAAGAAAAGGAACAATCGCCTCTATAAAATTACGATTGTCGATTAGTTCATCGTTGGATCGGGCTGAAATTTTAATACGAGTTTCGTGGTGTAAGAGTCTTCATTTTGACTGTTGGGATGGTCAATTGGAGGAAAGGAATGTGGTTGGAGATATCAGTTTCGCACTGTGATTGGTTTTTAGGTTTCTTTTCTTTGTTCTTCAAATTTGAGAGCACTGTTGTTTTGATATATTGACTATTTTTTACTTATTTGTGATTTTGGCTTGACTCTCTTATACCCATACTTTTGATGTTAGTGGAGCATATAAATGTGCTCATGGGTTTTTACTACTCATATTGAGGAGGTTTTCCTACACTAAAAATATTGGTATTCTCTATTATGATTATTTCTGTCATTATATATTGTTATTACTCCTCATATATTCTTGGAAGTTTAAGAAAATTATTTCCCTTGCATAATTTGATATTTTAAATTGTTGTGTTGTTTTTCCCTATCAGTCACTTGGCTTGACTAATCGATGATTTTTTTTTCTTTAATCTCCTCAACGTCATCAAATCATCATATCTCATCTTCTTATACCTTTCCAAGATTCCTTATTGTATCATCTACTTAATAGTCTGTGTTAGGGAGAACAACTTTTAGATGTCGTGACCACATGCTCTATGATATTCACACCATGCATTTCGATTCACCTCTGTTTACCAATTTGATTTCTTTTGGGGCATCAAAGCTTGGTCATATTCATATCCTTGAGGAATTGTCATTTTGTGGTATTGGGGGGAGTTGGTTTGAAATATAAACGATCCCACTTGTTATCGTAGGGTTGGTAATGTTGGTATTTGATTTTATCTAAGAGTCACTAAATCGATTGTCACCTAATTCCCAATGTCTCATATTTTTGTTGGGCATCTTCTACCCTTTGATGGGGGTTTCCTCGCCTGTTGGTGCAAGTCATTCATCATTTGCATGCCTTGTGGCAAAGTTAGGACATCTTCCAAGTTACTCATTCCTTTGTCTTCTCATCTTTAGTGTTCAAGAAACTTATTTGTGTTACAAAATTTTTGTTGTGTGTGGTGAGAATAGTTTTACCTAACCTATAGTAGACTCCAAAAATTTTTAGCAAAAAATTTTGGTATGGTTATTACACTTGAATATACTATTCAATATTAATTAAATTCTTCAATATTAGTTAATAGACAAATCTAAGGAAAGAATTGATGATTAGCATATAGGTGGTACATTGTCCTTGAAGCTATACCATGCTAATTAGGTAAGTTAGTTATAGATAGAAGGTTCACCTTTGACTACTACATGTATGTGAGATGAAACTTAGTAAAATGGAAGAGCAACAAACAAAATATAGTTGCTTGATTTAGTGTAAAAATATATATAATTTCAAGCTATGGCACCTAATATATGTGATGAGGAGTTATGGATGAAGATTTTTCTTGATGACCTCGTGGATCTATAAGGTTTTTTATCATAACAATTTAGTTATTTTAACGTTTTCTATCCAATCCAATCCAACATGACAAAACAAAACAAAACATATAAATATTAGCAAAATAATTCATAAATTGACAGAGGTCTTGTAATTACTCCTACAAGACTTCAATCAACACTTGTGTTCACCAAAATAATTCCTACAAATAGATTTGTGTGAATATAGTAAATATTTTAGAGTATGCATATAAATCTCTTTTTATCTGGATATTTATCATCTTTAAATTATTTATATATTTCCTATTTTAAGATTACTTGTTTTATATAAACGGGATATTAGAGCTTGTATTAGAAGTACGAATATGTAAAAGTTCATTTTATTTCAACTTCAACTTTTTGTTGAAAGCACTTGCAATATAAGAAAGACCGAAAAATTCATTGATGAAATTCTGGTCTAAATGCACCATGTAGAAAACTAGTATTAACATTTGAGACAATTTAAATTACATCCATAAAGAAGAGAAAAAACAACGCGCGTGAAATTCAAAAAACTAAATTAATATCTGGGTCTCTTTCCACACCATTGTAATCTTACTGTTTTCTAACTCCATAGAAACTAGACTTCCTTGATAAAAGCTTGGTGGTATGAAGGCAAAAGGAAATCCATGCCAACAAAGCCATCTAAGATCTTTAGAAAAATATTCAAAATCTCCAACAAGTTCTACACCAGAAAGTTGAAGCAACCTGAGTTTCTTCATGTTCATAAAAGCTTTAGTGCTTAGAGATTTTGCATTACTTCTTGGTAACTTCAAAGTCAATCCCTCAATAAATTTTTTCCCTATTAGAGAAAATGAACAGTGAAATATGCATAGCTAAAGATATATGGTAGTTAAAACCTGGGTAAAAAAAAACCTTCATTTATTCCAGGAGCTTAAGAGAAAAAAACAGTTTATAACCAAACTAATTTTCAAAATCTGTGACAATCAATTGTAAAAATAAGGGTTAATGAGCAAGGAAGGAATAAATGTATACGTCAGTTTCCATTAGCTTTAGACATTTTAAATACTAAAATAATAAATGAAGGTCTTACAGTTTCCTTTGATAACACATCAAGCACATCTTCATGAAACCATAATCTGCTACGCTCCTCAAGCTCCATTGGTGATTTTGAACGAATAACTTCTCTTCCCATGTCCCTTAGCAAATCATGCATTCCAAGTTTGTTCTTATCATATCTACAGTTACAAGACTTCGCTCTACCAAGACACGTATTCCATTCTCTGGGAAAAGTCCACAACCATTTAATATATGCATAACATCATTTCGGTCCATTCCTATAAAGAAACATGCTATATCAAGGAATATTCCTTTCTCTGTATCATCACTTAAACCATCATAGCTTATTTTTAACTTCTCCTGAATTTCATCATTGGGAATTTTCTTGAGTTTTTTCAATACATTCTTCCACTCTCTTACCTGCATATCAAACAAATAGGACCCAAGGACTTCAAGAGCTAGTGGCAATCCCCCAGAATAAGTAACTACATTCCTTGAAAGTTCAATAAAATTAATCTTCTTTGGGACTTGCTTGCTTGAATGCATGCCAACTAAAAAGCTCAATAGATTCATCTACATTCATTCCTCTCATTGTGAACACTTGATCAACTCTTTTCCCCTCTCAGTATATGTATATCTCTGGTTGTGATGATTATTCTACTCCCTGAACCGAACCATTCACGACTTCCACACAAAACATTTAATTGTTGTAATTTATTTACATCATCAAGTATAAGAAGTACCTTTTTATGTCGAAAACTTTCTTTTAATATAACTTTGCCTTATTCAATGTTACGTATCCTTGTATTGTTTTCTTTGTTGATATCAAATAGAAGTTGTTATTGTAAACAAACTTGGCCAGCTTCTTGTCCCCAAACTTCCCTAATATCTGCAAGGAAACTCCTTCCCTCAAAATTGCGGCCAATCTTGTTATAAATTGATTTTGCAATAGTTGTTTTACCAATGCCTCCCATCCCCCATACCCCTAGTAGTAGAACATCATTTGGTTGTTTTTGGTCTAGCATCTGAACCATTTCTTGCACACGAAATTCCACTCCGACGGGATTATTGGCAACAAACAACTCTGTCTTGTCCAACAAACTTGTAAGATTTTTAACAATATTTTGTATAGCCTCGCTTTCATTCCAACAATAAAAATGTGTTCACACACACTAGTGGAAAAATAGCATTTTTATCACGGTCGTAGTCCACCCGTCATAGTATGTAGCGCGGTGGCAAGTTTGTAATAAAATCATAAACTTTTTATGTCGGTTATTATGTAACCGACATGGTATATGAGCAAATTCACTTTCTATGTCGGTTAAAATTTAACCGACATAGAAAGTTTATATTAAATCAAAAAAATTAAATATATAAGTATATAAATATTTATATATCAAAATATATAAATATATTTGTATTTATATATTTTGTATATAAATATAATTTATTTGTAAGTTATGTATCGTAAATTCGTAGTAGTTTAGTGGTTGGAGTATCGATATCCAACTCTAAGGTCTTAGGTTCGAATCTTGTCAGTGACAAATCTCTTCAATAGATAATAAAATAATATATTATAAAGTATAATAAAAATATAATATAGATAAATAAATAAAAATCATACTAGTATAGTGGTTGGTCTAATTCTACACTGTAATGTACTGGGTTCGAATCCTACCAGTGACAATTTTCGTAAAAAAACTCATTACTTTCTATGTCGGTTATTATGAACCGACATAAAAGGTCATACTTTCTATGTCGGTTCATAACAACCGACGTAAAAAGTAATACTTTCTATGACCCTCGTATCTATGTCGCCTCTTTAACCGACATAAAAAACCTTTTTGCACTAGAATAATCAAAATAAAAGGAAAATTTAAGGGAAAAGTTTTTATATTTCCTCTGTTTCATCTTTTAAATATTTATATTTCTATAAATGCTTTAAACACGACCTGTGAGTGATAAAATTAACCAGAAAAAGAAATTAACAGAGAAAAGGTCGATTTAAAACATGAATAACATATTTAAAAGGTGTGCATTATAATACTATTTAGCCTGTATTTGTTCTCAGCCGTTTCACTGTTGACGTAGAAATCAGTGTGCTTAGTTCTACTTTTGATGCAGAGACGAGTCTCTTGAGTGGCTGGTTTTATTGATTGAACCGATTTACAGAAAATAATAAGATGATTTTCACAATAAAAATTATCTTTTAATTTGTAAAAAAGAGGTTGCAAAACCAAGTATAACACGAACAAGTTTACTCATTATATAATTTTATATAATTGATTATTTTGATCTTCGTACTTTGATCTTCATAATTTGATGAAAGGTGACATTACGAATATGATTTTTACATAAATTTATTAATAAATTATATATATATATATATATATATATATTTCTTTTTTTCTTTTATATATTACAAAATTAAAAATATTTTACTAATTTTATATTAAATTTATTTAAATAATTTTTTATACAAAATTATTTTTAAGTTAAAATTAATTTATCATTAAATTAAAGTATAAAATTAATTTTTATATATAATTTTGACACACGTAAATCTCTAATCAATTTTATTATTTGACGAAAATATGTTATATCAACAGCATGATTTAATAAAAATTATTAAAAAAGTAATATGTTTAACATTTTATATTTTATTTTATCATAATTCTTTAATGATATTTTTCAATTAAAATATACTTTTAATTTATTATAAAATATACATAAAAAATTATAATTTTTTAAAATAATTATTATAATTTAACAATGTTTATAAATTATTATATATCTATAATTACCAAGTTAATTTTAATTTATATATAAATTAGTTTTATCTATCTACTTTTATTTATTTTATTAAATAATTATTTTATATTAAATTAAATTAAATATTACTACAAAAATACCAAAACAAATTATATGAAATATCAATAAGATTATAAACTTAGTATAATAGAAAAAATTGACTTTATTTAAGATAGTTTAATCTAAACGGTCCTACTAATAGGATGTGTTAAGTTTATTATTGTACAAGACCATCTAAAATATGATCATCCCTTCTCTATTATAACATAAAATGGTAATCTTGCACCCACCCTAATAAATTTTACATCCAACTCTAATGAATACTTATCTTGTACTTAAGTTTAATAAACTCAAAAAATCTATACAAACTCATGAAAAATTTGTACACTTAATTCATAAAATCAACTTGTAAAGACCAATTTAATACTAAAATAAATAAATTCATATAATAATATATCAATAAAATATGGGTTATCAAAGTGATAAGATAATAACAAAAAAAATATTGTGATCAAGTTTATATGTCTTATCTATTCCTCTAATGAAATTATTTTTCTCTTTATATTCATCACCATCAAGTTCTTCACCATATGAAAAAGTGTGAATCAACATTGAATCAAAAATTATATTATCAAGCTCAAGTGCATCTAAAATTGAATAATATGAACATCATCTAACTAAATTAGTATTTTCGTCATCACCTTCCACTTGAATTTGTTCAATCATATTATCTCTCTCTTTAATTATTTATTCATCATCACACTCAAAATCATCAAATGAGAGAACAACAAATTTCTTAATTTTTGAACTTCGAGGTTATATATTACATAAACTAAATCATTCATCTTTTTATAGTGCAAACAATTTCTTTTTTTTATATGAACCTATAATTGAAGAATCAATTTTAATAAATATATAAACTAAACTAAAATAATTAAAAATCACAAATAATTACATAAACTTGAAATATCATTTCAAATAAGTTTCAATTACATTCACACTCAAAACAACTACAAGTCAAACTCAAAACTTGAATAACAAACTTTTTCAACTCTAGAGTTTCATTCCCAAACATCTCTCACAATTCTCTAGAAAATATAGCTTTCCTACAATCCTTTACATCTTCCTTAAAAAAAATCATTTGTACAATGGAAGTCAATGGATTGTAAATTGATTTTTTTTTTCCTTTCTATAACATCAATAATCAATCTTCCCATGCATATATGCAACCCCCATTCACTATCATCATTTCTAAAATTAAGCTCATAGTGCAAATAGAGATTAAGGTAATAGGTTGTTGCATGAAAATGCCTTTGAAGTTGATTATTCCACCTCTCATTAATGATTTTTCAAACAAGTTCACAACTATAAAAATATCAATTGTTCTATATTAGAAGTTTATAACAGATTAAGTAGTTAAATTCTAAATGAGATAAGGTTTAGGATTTTTACCTTTTCTTAATATTATTAAAGTTGCACTTAATTTTCTCTTTTGCACAATCTATTTCTTTATATATGAAACTCATTGCGAGTTTTTTATATGAATCCACCAATCAAAGGACCACAGAAAGAGGGACAACAACTTTCAATTATTTAGTTACATTCTTCCAAAAGTATCTATCTAATACCATATTCTCAACTTTTCTCCCATCTTGTAAAAATCTAAACTTTTTTTTTCACTCTTTAGAGCTAACCATACTCATCAATTATACTTTCAATTCAAGAAGACAACCTGAGTCAAATAAGTTGGCAAATCTATTCATACTAGGCCTTATTAAGTCTCTTCCCTTTGTGATCTTCTTTAGCATGTGAATTAACATTGTTCTACCATAAGTGTAGGGGATGATCCTTCTTCTCTACCTGATAGTTACTTTGTAGACCGTCAATTATTTCTCAAAATCTCATTATAATCAATTTTGTCCACTTGTGTAAGTTTTTCACCACTAGTCTTGCATTAAATTTTTCCTTCTCTCACCTAGTATTCCTTCCTTTTTCTTGAATATCCACTTGAATCCAACCACTTTCTAATTTTTGGGTAAGTCCACAAGTGGCCTTGTGTGATTTTTCTGCAATGATTCAGGTCTTTCCTCCATGCACACAACCATTACTAATTGTATATACCCCCAATAAGTCTCCTTGAAGCTTCTTGATCTTGAACCGCCTACCTCTACAAATACACTAAAGGCATAACATATAAGATCAACATACTCAAACCTTATTGTAGGTTTGATATTTTTCATCTACTTATCACGTGTAACATAAGAAGATAGTTGAAGTTTAAGTTGACACGTTCTAGCCTCCTAGAGTGAGAAGTTGAAAGTTGATACATGATATTCATCATCTTATGCATCATTTAATTCCTATTGATAGTCTAATATGAGGAAAGAAGGTTCCACATTAAACGGAGCTTTTGTCCTTATTTCAAGTTAGATTTTTGCACAACATCTCATTCATGTAACATTGAATGTCACACCCTTACTTATGAAACACCTTTGTTCTTCAATGTATCTAACGAAGATACACTTATCTGTCTGTTCTTCAAACTTATCAATTTTGACATGTGCAAATCCAAGGCACAAAACACCCTCATATTAGAATAATTTATTGGTCTTCCACTCCACACTTCCACAGAAGTCTTCAAATGTAGGGCAAATTATTCACATCCATTTATTAGATATATTATAATATTAGTAACTTCACTCAATAGGTTGGAAAACCAAGTTCTAGCAACATACCCCTCACTTGTTCCAAAATGGTCTTCTTCATCCTTTCAATAAGATCATTTTGTCGAGGAATCCTACAATTATCTTGTGTATCTTAATCCCTTCCTTCCTACAAACTCACAAATGATCTAAAAAAATTTTCAAATTTTATTAATCCTATGAGCTTTGAATTTGGTTACCTATTGATTTCTGACCATGATGCACTACTTTTGAACCTTTAGAAAGTTTTAGTTTTAGTTTTACTTTTTAGTCATGAGACACATGTTATAAGTATAACTTGAGTACATGACCCATCTCCTTTTTTTAACTAAAATCGACACCACCAGCACACCTATAGATTCATAACTATAAAAAACTATTAAATCTATAGACTCGCATGAAAATTGTGAAGTTCTTTACTTTTGGACAATTTTTTTTATATAACCTCTAATCTATAATAGATATATCACTTAGGCTCTTTTTACTCTTATGTCTTCTTGGATGACTTCTTGAATTTCTTCCTCCTTGTTTCCTTCTTAATCTCGCACTTCCAACACTCCACTCAACCCATTTTATCACATCTCTTAGACTCTTAAAAGATTTTGAAACGTCTTCATTCTAATAGAGGTTTGGACCTCCTCCAAGGTAATATTATTCTTTTCATAAAATGAAACATCCTTTAAAAGTTCAAACATTATAGGCAAAGCATTAAGAAGAAGCAAAGATTTATCTTTATCATCAAGTTTCGATTCAAAATTCTCAAGATCATCCACTCACTTGTAAAGTTTGTTTGCTCCACCATCATTCTTGATTTATCATCTTGAATGAGTACAATTGTTGATCGAAACAGTGTTTGTGCTAGAGATTTTGTCATTTATTAAGACTTAAGTTTACTATGCATTGTTGTGATAGTTCTCTCAATCCTAGTTTCACTTGGTGCCTTATTGCTAAGTATCGTGACTTCACTTGGTGCCTTATTGCCAATTATGATGTTTCTAGCTTTGTTAATCATGTTTGTTTTCTCATACGATGACAACTTATTTCTGGTAAAAATTGGTTCAATGCATTCAACAAATTTATTAAGTTTTTTTCCTAATTAAGATTTTCAATACGAACCACTTGTCACCTTGTGGATTCTTTTTTATTTAGACTAGTAAGTAAAAAAATGTCATTTTAAAATGTGTTTCAATTAAACTTTGGAAAAATAAGCATGTGAACCAACATTTTATTCAACAATTAATATAAAGTCAATATTTATTATAGATTTTTCACACATTAATTTAATAAAGATATTTATGAGAATTCTTGATTATATACTTGGACTTTCAATATTACTTCAGACATTATTTAATTACTTAATGAGAATTCAATAAAAGAACAACAAATAACAAAGATTTGAAAATTTTAAAGTGGAGAAAAGTAAATTAGAAGGAAAGGTAAATTGTTGAAAATATAAATGACAAGAAATGTGATTAGTGAAAATAGTAAATTGCAGAAAATATAAATTGTTAAGGATAAAATAAAACTAATACAGAAAACTAATGAAAATAGTGACTCAAACTACAAAGAACTCAATTGAAATAGTATTTTCTATGTTTACATCATTTCTTCATAATGCAAAATTCTTAATACAATTTGTCATCACCATTCTTTACACTTATTCGATCATATTTATATTTATTATTTTTATGCAATATTTTTAAAATCGGACCAACCACTAACCCAATGAAGATATGAGTTCAGGATTTAAAGGTTCAACCAAATTTAATAAAATAATATTTTGTTAATATAACAAGTATATTATAAGTTCATTAATAATAATTTTTTTATAAAAGAAAGAAAAATAATAAAGGTTAAATCATGGTTACCCTAAATTATAATGAAAGTTACAATTATAAAATATATTAGAGAGTATAAAATGAATAATTATTAAATAAGATAAAAATACAATAAAATAACTATTATTTAAAATTAATATAATTAATATGAAATAAAAAAAACTAAAATATATTATGTCTTATATAAAAAAATTATATTAAGAACATTTTGATCATAATTTATTCTTTTATCTAAACCAGTTTGATCCCAATACGATGGTTCTCCAATTTTACCGGTTTTGTCGTAATTTAATTAAAATCCGATTATTTGAAAATAAAAAATCAATTTCTAGTATCATTCCTGATTAGATTGGCTAGTCTCATTTCCGAATGAGTATTTTTATGTAACCATTAAAAATTAAAATAAATTAAATTAAATTAAGATAAATAAAAATAGTTATATTTCCTATTCCTCTTTCTCGAGTAGTTCCGTTATTATAGATAACGTTTTTAACCGTTCTTATCACGTTGTAGAGTTGTAATGGTTCTGTATTTTTTCAGATTCTTTGTAACTCATTTTTTATAACAATTTTCTCTCTATTCTATTATTCCTCTGTCTTCTCCATCAGTATGTCTTCTTTTCGATTTTAAAGCTTCCTTCCAATTGTTCCCTTATCTTCCTCTTTTTTACTGTTCTTCTTTCCTCCCTTCTATCGATGTTCAGCTCTACCTATTGATTTTTAATTTTCTTCTTCCTTATTCTCATGGTCCTTCAATTTTTAACTTCATATTAATCTTTTCAATTTTCCTTTTCCTTATTTATAAACATCTTGATTTTAAAATTCATATAGTAAGATTAGTATTTTTTTTTTTTTTCAAACTAATTCTTTGGATCCATCTGTAAATTTATAAATAACACAACCTCACCCTTTATTGCTTCAAGACAACCATACTAAGAGAACTTTGATCTTGAACTTCAAGAGTCCAAAATCCTTGTCTCTAATCAACATATGAAACTTGGTGGCCATCTTTTTAATCTCCTTGACTTTCTTTCCTCATCCCACAACGGCGCCAATTGTTGGGTTGACAATAATTAAGAAACAAAATAACGAGAACCAAAAAAATCACCCTTGTATAGCAGAAGAGGAAAATTACACAAAAAAAACACATAAAAAAATGTAAGTAGAGTATTACCAATACTCTGTATATAAATCCCTAGTGTAACAAAAAAGAAAACTGCTACACACAGTCTACTATCTACAACAATACAAGACCATCTAGTAGATAGTTCTACGTCTAACACGTCTAAATCGCTGGCATTATAAATTTTGATAAATGGTAGTTTTAGACAAAATGTTGAGCAAAAATATGAAAGCTGGAACTTTCTCAATTGCCTGGAACGTAGTTCTTTAGGTAGTTCTTTATCCCCTGACATACCTGCAGCCTTATGAAGTTCCTCCCGCCAAAGATGCTTGAGGCTCCTTAACTCATTATCAATTTAAAACTTGATACATTTTGTGATTTTCATAAATATGTTGTTTTTAGAGAAAATGCACAGTAACAATCTGAAAGCATAAAGTGTTTCCATTACCGGATATCATCGAAATAATAGACACCCTCTGAGATGTCAGCGTCCTCACAAAAAGCCTCCCTCCAATGTTTCACGTGTTGTTCTATCGCATCAGTAATCTCCATTTCTCCGCTTCATACATGCCATGAATTTCATAAACATTAGACAATGTTTAATGAAAAATATGATCAAGCATTGAATGTTTCGATTACCAGGAATTTAAGACTTCACCCCCTGAGATGCCAGCAACCTCAAAAAGTGTCTCCCTCCAATGCTTCACATGGAGATCTATCGCGTTAGCAATCTCCATTTCTTCACTGCTTGTTTGTGATATATTTCATAAACCATATTTTTAGAAATAACGTTCAGTAAAACTCTTCAAGTATGAAGTGTTTCAATTACCGCGGATCCAAGACTGCAACCTCTGAGATGCTAACACAATATAGTATCCACTTCTCTATATGATACTGTTAGTAGGAAATCGATAAAGGGATCGAAAAACGAAGGAAAGAAAAAATCGAGGATCATATGATTGGTTAAAAAACTGATAAAGTGAAAAGATGGTTGGAAAACATTCGATGACCATGTAACAGTATGGACACATAAATCGAGAATCGAAGGAGGAATATTTAGTGTCTATTGTTGAAGAAAATCGAGGAATTAGAATCATGTAATGTTAAGGTTAAGGTCAAAAAAGCAATGCAAAGTTCTCGAGATTTTGAAATCGAAATCGAGGAAAAAGTTAACATGCACGGCCATCAAAATTCTGGCTAAGTTAGAAAGAGAGGAACAGTTAACGCGCACATAGAACATGGGAAGCGGTTTCTAAACCGTGGCAGAGATCGAAGGTCAAGGGAACAGTTATCTCATGCATGGGAACGTGAAATACAGTTTTTTAAACCGTGGAACTGAGAGACGTGCATGGTGGGTCATGGTGGCAGTTTTGTTAACTGCTCTTAGGAGGTTATCTGAAGGGTGCCCTATAAATAGAGCAAAACTTGAGGAAGAAGGGGAAATTGGCAGAGAGAACTGAAACATTAGTGAAAAAGTCTATCGGAGAACGACGAAATCATGAAGTTTCTGGCGATCTGGATTTCCATTTTCATTGATTGTCTTTACCGCTTTTTGTACTTTCCCTGGTAATTTATGTTCATGCAATTTATTTTGATGCAGTTTACGTTCAAGCAACTTTAAGTTTCTGCACTTTTAATTCCATGTTATTTTACTTTTATGTAAGTTGAGATTCTGCGTTTAAGTTCCTCGTTATTTACACTTATGCAATTTCAATTTTCTGTTATTTACATTCTTGCAATTTCGATTTCTCGCTATTCATACTTAATGCAAATTTGAGGTTTCCGTGTTTTTACATTCCTGCAATTTAATATTCCGCACTACTTTTCAATTTCGACACTTCTTTTTCTTTGCATTTCTTAACAAAACATCAAAAATATGTACTCTAGGTCATGCCGTTTTACACTATAAGATTTTCGATTATCATGCACTTTTCAATTGAAAACTAGTTGTTAGCCTAAGTAAAAAGAATCTACATGGTCGAAATTTGATTAGGACTCAACTCCCCATAAATCGAAATCAATCAAATTTTCACCAGAAACAAATTGGCGCACCAAATAGGGAGTCTTGTGTCAAAAAACACAAAATTGGTTAGTTCGAAAGTGTATGAGATTAAGGAGCGGGCGAGTAATAAGAATGAGTCATCCACCAAATAATCAGAGTAACAGTGAGGTTCTAAATGCTTCACATCCACCAAACACTGGGGGCAAGGTCATAATGGGAATATACATGTAATATCGACAACTGCGAGTATGTCGATACCTGTGAGTAATGAACAAAGTTCAAGTACATTAGCAAACACTCAAGTAGGGTCTAGTACTGTGATATCGAACAATATGCAAACTATGGGAAACCCTATAACAACATATGCAGGGTCGTATATGAGCGTAAGATCGCCTGGCTTTTCAATTAACAATATGAATGGGGCTGGTACTTCTTCAATACAACGAAGTACGAGATTTAACCTAGGAATGCCCCAAAACTTAGGCACATTTCAAACCTTAGGCATGCCTCAAAATTTTGGAGTATCCCCAAATTTAGGGGTATCTCAAAATTTAGTAACACCCCAGAATTCAGGGAATGTGCAAAATTTAGGAACACAACAGACGCCTCCAGTATCAAACCTGGATCATGGGAGACATACATTCGATAGAGATTATCATCGATCCAATTTTGAGATTATCGAAAATGCTAGTACTGGAATTTCCAATAACTCATTAGGAGTACTTCGACAACAAATGGACGAAAGCAATTTCGAGATGGTTAACATGTTATCACAACAGTTGACTACAGTATTAAATCCATTAGTGCAAAACACTACCACTAGTTTTGAAATACTAGCAGACTAAATGTCACGTATCGGGGATGCATTGGCTATACCTCGACAAACAAGAGTGGAAAATCATGTCAATCAGAACCTTAACCAGAATGCTAATATCAATCCCCCTTATTTATTAAGGAGAAATCGAAACAATGATCAACATCAGCACATGGGGAATGAATATCAACAGGTGAGGAATGATATTTACGGAAATTTGAATGAAGGATTTCAAAATGTGTATAATAACATGCAGTATAATCACATGCTAGGACAAAGGATGAATCCCCAAGGAGTGGAATTAAGACCACCTAATCAAACATATTTTGTTTCTCCTTTTCCAAATACAATTCTCGAGACAGAGTTACCTCGAGGATACAAAATACCTAAATTCAACAAATTTGCTGGAGAAATTGGTGAGTCCACTATCGAACATGTGGCGCGATATCAGATCGAATGTGGGGACCTAGCGATGAGTGAAGAATTAAAAATGAAATATTTCCCTAGTTCATTAACTAATAATGCTTTCACTTGGTTTACTTCATTGCCACCCAATTAGATATATAATTGGTTACAATTGGAAAGAAATTTTCATGAACAATTCTTTAGGGGGGAGACTCAAGTAAGTCTCATCGACTTAATGAACATAAAGAGATATAATCATGAAAGCATAGATGATTATTTGAATAGATTTAGACAAATGAAGTCAAGATGCTTTACTCAAATTCCTGAATATGAATTAGTCAGAATGGCCTCCGCAGGCTTAGAATTCTCGATTAGAAAAAAATTAGTTAATTTACCATTGAATGACATGGCTCAGCTAGCCGACAAAGTAAGAAGAGTGGAACAAATCGAATATGAGAAACAAAGATACAAGAAATTTGAGAAACCCATGAAGAAAGAAAGAATAGCATATATAAATGATGTATATGAGGAAGACCCCAAGGCAGAAACAGATATTAAAGAAACTGTCGATGAGAAAGTAAATATAGCAGAGCTTAAAGTAGGAGCTCCATACATTTGTAAATTGCTACAGAAAAATGAAGTAAAAGACAAAATGGCAAATCGAACATATACTTTTGATGTAACAAAGGCGGATAAAATCTTCGATATTTTATTGAAAGATAAACAGATTAAGTTGAGTGATGATCATAAACTGTCTTCTGCAGAACAAAGGAATGGTCGAAAATATTGCAAATTTCATAATATTTATGGACATTGGACTAATAATTGTATACATTTCAGGAACACGATCCAAGATGCGATTGACCAAGGGAGATTGAAGTTCAAGGAGATGTCAATGAAAGTGGATACGAGTCCATTTGAGGTTCAAGTATGGTATATTGAATCCCAAACGGGCATGGCTGAAGATGTCCGATTGACAAATCCGACCTTTGTAGGCATGGTTGATGTTACTGAAGACATTGATCCCAGACATGTCAGAATGGACATGTCAGAAGAAGACATAGAATTTGATTTAAGCGAGTTCGAGAAAGAATTCGAGAGAGAGATCTATCCTCGATCAGAAGATTCTCTCGTTGAGTTTTTAAACAGAAAGAAAGAAAAGGATGAAGATGTGATGTTATGTCCACGATGCAGTGCGGTGTTCGACAAGTCAGCCGCTAAAGCTTTCAGAGCAAGACAGATAAAGAAAATCGAGAATCAAAACAAAAGGGACAATGATAAAGTAGATCAAATAGTCCAAGCAACGATAGGGGAAAGTCAACAGAAATCTGTTGGTTCTGGTGCTAGTAGAAATCAGAAACAATGGGTTAGGAAAGAAATATATCCTTCTCGAGAAGGAAGGGCTAGACTTCAAAATAATGATGTCTTCGAGAGACTTTCATATGATGAAGGATCGAATCTTGGATTTCCAACATTCCAAAGGAGATTTCGAGGAAGGCCCTGGAGAAGAGGAGGGAGGATCCCTTACTGGGGAATGTTCAATAATTACAGGAACTTTGAAGAGAGTAATGTACCAATGGGGAGCCAATATGCAAGAGACTTTGGCAATGACAAAAATGAGGGTAGTTGGGATGAACATCAAATCGGAGTAATATCGATACTACCCGCAGAATATGTTAGTGAGTATAAAGAGTACCAAGAACAAAGTAATGTCGATCGAGAGGATGATTTCTATTCCGAAGACATGAGACCAAAGGTGACATGGGTAACACAAGCATCATGCGAAGTACCCCATAGAGATGCTGCTTTTATTGATCCTCCATCTGAGGAGATGAGGTTTCATCTGAAGCATTTATTACTGAATATCGAGATTCAAGGACAAAAGGTGAATAGAGTCCTTGTCGATGGTGGTGCAGCGGTGAACATATTGCCAATCACTATGCTGAAAAGGTTTGGTATCGAATTAAAAGACTTAGTCAGGCATAATATCATGATTTCTGATTTCAGTGGGAAAACATCGAGTTTAGAAGGCATGATTGCCTTAGATGTGAAAGTGGGTACTTATTCAAGGCCCACTATGTTTGTTGTTGTCCAATCACATGCCAATTTCAATGCACTACTTGGCAGGGAGTGGATTCATGGAGTTGGAGTCGTACCTTCTACGGCTCATCAAAAGTTGTTTATGTGGAATCGAGATGGACATCTCAAAGTGATTCCAGGCGATCAGCATGAGTTTGTGACATTTGTATCCCAGGCTGGTCAGGCATTGCAGAATTTAGCGATCACTCAACCATTCACCTTCGAGACTGTCGAAGACTTCAATTCAAAATTACACGAATAGCGTTTTTTGGAAATGAATGAGAAAAAAGGGTTTGTTATGATCAAAGAGGGGGCCAACCTCGAAGTGGCCGGTGAAAATGAATAGAGATTACGAGGAATTCTTGGCCCGATTAAAAAGATATGAAGATGAAAATAAGGGCCAAGAAAGTAGTAGTACTAAGGTAGAAATAAATAAG